ACTTGCCCAGGAATTTTCCTAGCTTCTTACTATTCTGCCTCAGTGTGAGGTAGGGACACAAACGGGCATTCCTGGTGGGAAATCAATTGCCACAATTTTTTCAGAGGGCAATTCCGTAATATGTATCAAAGCTTCAAAGTTATCCATAATCTTTGAGAAAGTAATTTCGTATCTAAAAAAGTCTTCCAGAACAAAGGCACAGACTGCAATGAGCCCAGTGCGGTCTGACACCATTTAATGCAGGCTCTAATCAGGCTCATCAGCTGCTGAGTGTGCCCTGAGGGGGCGGGGGCCAGGGATCCCTTGGCAGCTCCCCATCGGGTGCCAGGAACACCTAGGACAGCCGACTCTAAGCCATCAGTGCTCTGTCTTGTTTGTGGATGAACGACTGGAAACCAGGAAGCTGGCTTTGCTGCCATCTAGTGCTCCCCAGGTAACTGCACCCAGTCGAGAGGAAAACTGTCTCCTCTATTAAGTAATTTAGCGCGAAGGGGCCCTCTTCCTCTATTTTTATTTAACAAACACTAATAAAGCATTTAAAACATCAATAAAGAAACAAAACATCAATGTGTTGTTCCACCCATTCATGCACTCATTGGTTGATTCCTGTATGTGCCCTAACCAAGCATGGGACCCATAATCTTGGTGTCTCTTGACGATGCTCTAAGCAACTGAGCTGCCAGGGCTAATAAAGCATTTTACTATGTTCCAGGCATTGTGCTTGGCGTTTCCTAACATTCCTTCTTAATCCTCATAACAGCTCTATCAAATAGGGACTTTTATCATCCTCATTTGCAAAATGAGGGACTAAGGTAAACAGAGGTTAGGTAACTTGCCCTGGGTCATACAGCTATTAAATGGGTAAGATTAGAACAGTATTAGAACAAGTAACAGATTGGCACCAGGGTCTGTATTCTGAACTACCTACCTCCTTCGTGAGGGTCAAGGTCAGTATATACTGACAGCACTCGGAGAGGACCTCAAAGCCCGCTCAGCTACTGCAGCCCCGTGCCCTGGCACATCTGCCCCAGTAACTTCGCAAAGGGACTGAGTTTACCTTCATCCTTCCAGGCAGCTTCACCTGAGTCAGTGACGAACACTGGCTCAGGCCACATCCAGTGGATTTAAAATTTTTTTCTATCTGTAAAATACTTCATACTACATACACAAAGATATGAGAAATAATATAACAAATACTCAGTACTCACCAGCAGATTTAAAAATAGAATGTTTCCAGTAACGGTGCATCAGTGATGAGTGCCAGGGACACCAACTAAGCTGTGAAGGCAGTACAGCTTTTATAGCAATCCTGTTCCTTCCTAACGAACAGCCCTCCCCTAATTACAGTTCATTGTATTAGGACAAGCTGGGGACATCTACGGTTTGGGTAAGACAATGGTTGCTTCACAGCAGAGCCGAGAAAGCTGGATTATTTGTTATGGTCTGAGAAAGTCGTGGCTCCCAACCAAGGCTGCGAACCCCTGGGCTCTGAGGACTTAGGGAATGGGAAGCCCAGGCGCTTAGCTGTCATCACTTGTACCCCAGAGTTATGAATCCGGAGTCCTCTGGCTCCTTAGCAAATCCTAGAGTCACAGGAACATTTTGTATGCGTGCCTTTTTCTTCGAGCGAGACGGTCCCTTCCGAATCTTTTGTCAGTCTCAGACAGGTCTGAGACCTTCCAAAAAGGGTGATAATCATTCTTATGGAAAAGGGGTTGGCAAATGGCCCACAGGCCAAATCCACAGTGCTTGCTTTTGTACAACCCACAAGCTAAGAATAAAAATTATATATTTACTTTAATCATCACTGAAGATAATTTTTCACTGCTTTTAGAGAGAAAGGATAGGCGCAGGGGCAAGGGGAGAGAAACACTGATGTGAGAGAAATATTTATTGGTTTCCTCCTCATGTGCACTCCAACCAGAGATGGAAACTGCCACAACCTCAAACCCACGACCCTTTGGTCCACAGGACGATGCTCCAGTCAACTGAGCCACACCAGCCAGAACAAAATTTCTATTTTTTTAATTAAAAAAATATTTTCCCTGGCTGGTGTAGTTCAGTGGATTGAGCGCAGGCCTTCGAACCAGAGGATCATGGTTCAATTCCCAGTCAGAGCACATGCCTGGGTTGCAGGCCAGTTCCCAGCAGGGGATGCATGACAGGCAACCAACCATACATTGATATTTCTCGCCCTCTTTCCTTCCCTTCCCCTCTAAAGATAAGTAAATAAAATCTTTAAAAAATATTTACTTTTATTTTTTAAATATATTTTATTGATTATACTATTACAGTTGTCCCATTTTTGCCCCTTAACCCCCCTCCACCCTGCACACCCCCTCCCACCCACATCCCCCCCTTTAGTTCATGTCATGTGTCATATATATGTAAGTTCTTTGGCTTCTACTTTTCCCATACTATTCTTACCTCCCCCCCCCGTCTATTTTCTACCTACCATTTATGCTGCTAATTCTCTGTACCTTTTCCCCCATCTCTCCCTCTCCCACTCCCCTGTTGATAACCCTCCATTGATCTCCACTTCTGTGGTTCTGTTCCTGTTCTAGTTGTTTGCTTAGTTTGTTTTTGTTTTAGGTGTGGTTGTTAATAACTATGAGTTTGCTGTCATTTCACTGTACATATTTTTATCTTCTTTTTCTTAGATAAATTCCTTCAACATTTCATATAATAAGGGCTTGGTGATGATGAACTACTTTAACTTGACCTTATCTGGGAAGCACTCTTTATGCCCTTCCATTCTAAATGAAAGCTTTGCTGGTAGGGCAATCTTGGTTGTAGGTCCTTGGCTTTCTTGACTTGGAATACTTCTTTCCAGCCCCTTCTTGCCTATAAGGTCTCTTTTGAGAAGTCAGCTAAGTCTTATGGGAGATCCTTTGTAAGTAACTATCTCCTTTTCTCTTGCTTCTAGGATTCTCTCCTTTTTATCTTGGCTAATGTAATTATGATGTGCTTTGGTGTGTTTTTCTTTGGGCCCACCTTCTTTGGGACTCTCTGAGCTTCCTGGACTTCCTGGGAGTCTATTTCCTTTGCCAGACTGGGGAAGTTCTCCTTCATTATGGTTTCAAATAAGTTTTCCATTTCTTGCTCTTCCTCTTCTCCTTCTGGCATGCCTATGATTTGGATGTTGGAACATTTATATTTGTCCTGGAGGTTCCTAAGTCAGTCTCTCATTTTTTTTAATTATTGTGTGCACCGTGTGGGAAAATAAGGAAAGTGTGCACACCGACTATACTGGCTCTTGCCCTGATCGTAATCTGCCACGAAGTAAGGAACTTAGTGTTGGTGCCAAGAATCTTTTCTGATAGGTTTGTAATTTAGAAAGAAGTAATACAGTGATGACTAAAAATCAGCAACATCCCATTACTCCTGCATTTATGCATGTACAGTAGAGGACAGACTTTAAAATATCTGTAAGAGATAAATCAATGAAGACTTTTATGGCAAAAAATCAGGAATCGATAGTGACGTTTCCATAAAGCTAGCACTCTGATGAATAATCTCTGTGGTTTCTCTGACAGCATTTTAGTAGTCTCGGAAGAGAGGAAGAACACAGGGGGAAGCTGTGCTGAGACATTCCCACAGTGCAGAGCCTTGACAGAAGCCAAGAGGGCTTAAGAGGACTTCTATAACCTGTATGTGGGATAAGAATTAGTTTTATATTTGGCCCCCACTATCGTTTAAAACTTTGTTGAGAAGATATGATCTTCCTCTGCCAAGGCGTGAAGACTTAGGCAAACACATGACTTGTCCATCTTCCCGTTACATTTAACCCTATGATCTCATTGCATTACATTAAATAGGCACAGCCCTGGCCAGTGTGGCTCAGTGGACTGAGCACCAGTGTGAACTGAAAGGTCAGTTTCAATTCCCGGTCAGGGCACATGCCTATGTTGTGGGCAGGGCCCCAGTTGTGGGTGTGTGAGAGAGAACTGATCAGTGTTTCTCTCCTACTCTATCTCCCTCCCTTCCCTTCTCTCTAAAAATAAATAAATAAAACATTTTAAAAAATAGAGTATCTAGTCACATCTAACAGTCAAGACTACAGACTTGGCGTTAACTCTTGCCAGTCTGAGCTTGCTTCAGGCCTAAAGTTTATAGCAGAGCAGTGGATGGAATCCTTTGCTCTCTCTCCTTTCTTCCTATTCAATGCCAGCAGTTCTACCACTGCCTCAGAAGCTGGAGGAGAAACACTGGAGATAAAGCAGCTATACTTACCCAGTTGACTCTGTGCTCTCTGGGCGCACGTGGTGGTGGGAGCTGGCTTTCTCTTGGGCTGGCACTTTCATGAGCTTGCCAGAGGTTGCTGCTGCGCCCCTTGACTCCAGCTGCTGCATCACCGCCCTAGCTGTCCACTCGCTGTCTGGTCCTCAGTCTTTGGGCAGCAGGCAGTATGTGCAAACACGTTTCTGTGGAGGTCTCCCTGGCTCTGCTGATGGCCTGCTGGACGTCAGCTATGACCCCGCAACACAATCCACAGGAAACATTATGCATCCCTGGCCATGAGAGAGAACTATCACCAAGTAGTTAGCTTTACCTTTTTCTTACCCCCTAGGTTTCCTAGGTAGGAGTGGCACCAAGCCCTAGCCCACTTTTGCTTTATTTCTCAGTCCTGAGTCAGGGATCAGCTTTCTGGGTGTCCAAATTGCGGAGAACACATTTGCATACTCCGAGTTGGCCCCTTGAATTCCTCCTCAGCTTGTAGTGGTGGAAGGAGCCACTTCCCTACCCTTCTGCCAAAATGGGAGCTGGAATCAGCACAGCAACAGGCTTATCCAAAGAAATCTCTTCATCAATCTCCTTACCAAATCGTCTCGGTTCTCTCAAAACTTATATTCAAGTAGGTAAAAGGCCTCAACAGCCATGAAACAAGTCCTCCTGTTTTCCCCTAGAATCCTCAATTAAATTTGAGGCCGAAGAGTTCCATTCTAGTAACTTTTATGTTAGTTACTTATTGCCGCACAACAAATCACCCCAAAACTCAGTGGTGTGAACAAATAAACATTTATTATTGCTCACAGCTTCTCTGGGTCAAAAATTAAGGAGTGCCTTAACCAGACAGCACTGGCTCAAGGTCTTGTGAGATTCCAATAAAGATATCGGCCTGATGAGGGCTGGGAAATCGCTTCCAACTGGGACCACTCACAGGATCTGCAAGTTGGTGCTGGCTGTCGGTGGAAGGCTCCAGTTCCTCTCCACTGGAATTCTCCAGAGGGCTGCTCCCACATTCCCCAGACACGGAGGCTGGATTTCCGCAGAACAAGCAACCCAAGAGGTGAAGGTGAAAGCAGCAGCATCTTTTGTGATCTAGCCTCAGAAATCACATACTGTCACCTCTGATTCTTTATTTACTCCCGTCGACCAGCTCTGATTCAGGATGGAAAGAAACTGCAGAAAGGCATGAATACCAGGAATCAAGATAACCAAGGGCCATCATGGAGGCTGCCTACCACTCCCTGTTACTCAAAATGCCCATTATCCCCTAAAACGAACTGGACAAAGTAAGTAAATGAGACTGTAAATGTAGACTTTTAATCAAAACTGCTTTGGGGAATTCTTCATCTTCAAAATGATGTATGTCATCTGGCCGTCTCCACATTTGTTCCTCATCTATAATTGGGTCCAGGACTCTCCTTGAAGGAAGGCAGGGCCTCAGCCTGATTTTAAGGGTTCTTTTTGGTTCTCAGATCTCTGATTCCACAATAATAATAAGAAAATAAACCTTAGTCTTACAGTCGACACTGACATTGAAAATTCAATAAAGCATTCAAAGGTGGCCCTGGCCACTGTGGTTCAGGTGGTTGCAGCGTGTCCAGTAAACCAAGATGTCACGGGTTGGACTGCTGGTCAGAGCACATACCTAGGTTGTGGGTTTGGTACCTGGTCACCTACGAGGGACAACAGATCAATGATTCTCTCTCACACCGATGTGTCTCTCCCTCTTTCTCTCCTGCCCGTCCCCGCTCTCTAAAATCAGTAAGTATGTCCTTGCGTGTGGATTAAAAAAAAAGTATAAGATGTGTCATTACAAAAGTCATCTCTGTTTTATTTATTTTACAGAGTAATGATTTCAATTTAATATATTTGGGCACAGTAAATATTTGACATGAAAAGCAGTTGTATCAGAATGGGCATCAGAAAAATAGCAACTCGTTCTTACACATAACTAGAAAATATTTTTGTCTGATCATTTAAGCGTTATAAATCCTGAGGATGTTATACATTGAACAAACTAAGTACTACCTTATATTAAATCTTGCTTGAAAACCATCCTTTAAAAAATGCTTTGAGGTATAAATCACCTATGTATTAGACATGAGTCTTTTACATTTTACAAAGAGTTTAAACAATCAAACAATTAAAATTCAATGGCTCTTAAAACAGCTATTAGTCAGGTTCAAGGACACACTGTTCCACAATTTCCCGTAGGTTGGGGTTCTCCATTGCAGCTGCCACTCGTTCTTTGTCATTTATCTGCTTGTTGACTGCAAAACACACAGACAAAAGTTAGCAGAATTATGTCAATGTATGGCAATTGACCGTATTTGTCTCAGACTGTTAGAGAATTCAACTCCTTGAGAACTCACAGCTGATTCTAGTTAATTATTCATAAGTTTTGGAAGGGAGACTTAAAGAGAAAAATATCCTCTATAATCCTACGATGCTGCCCAACTATTTTCACTTCTTTTCTTCCAGTCTTTGTCCATATACGTATTTCAATGTTACACTCAGGGTGAATACAATTTTGAATATTGCTCTTTTTACCTCTGAAGCCTATTTTTTAAATTACAGGTTTACTTAACACAGCAAAAATTGTTAAGTGCTCTAAACTATGAAGAAAAAAATAAATTAAAAAAATAAAACAAATTACAAAGACTATGCTACAATGAACACCTTTAAACATATAACCTTTTTGGAAAGATTCTTCAAAGTGGGATTATTAGATCCAAGGATACGAGTGTTTTTGTGGTTTGAATTACATAATTTAATAACTTTCCCATATTTTTTACCAATTTATATTCCCAACAGCAATATGTGAGCCATCATTTTGACAGACATGCCCGGCATTATTTAAAACAAAAACCAAATATACATATACACACACAGAACAGGAGGCGAACACAGTTCTGATTACTGCTGTCATTTGCAATTTCTTGATTTTTCCCATGTTTATTTATTAGTTCTTGTGTAAATTTTTTGTTTATGTCCCTTTCTATTCACCAGTTAACAGAAACTAGTATTTTTTTTTAAACCAGTCTGCATGGATCTTCATAAAATAAAGCTATTGCCCCATATTGGTTGCCTATAATTTGCTAAAAATAATTCTGACAGAAGAGGTCAAAAGAGAGATGTCCACATTCTTTTTTCTTAAAGATTTTTATTTATTTATCTTTAGAGGGGAAGGGAAGGAGAGAGAGGGAGAGAAATATCAGTGTATGGTTGCCTCTCATGTGTCCCCTGCTGGGAACTGGCCTGCAACCCAGGCATGTGCCCTGACTGGGAATCGAACTGCGATACTTTGGTTCACAGGCCCGTGCTCAGTCCACTGAGCTACACCACCCAGGGCAGGATGTCCACATTCTTAATGTAGGCCAACTTTTCGGGGATCCTGCTAAAATGTCACAGTAGAAACCATATAGATTCCTATGTAAAGAAATGCAATTCTTCCTTTTTCTTCCTCCTACAATGCAGACTCCACAAGGACAAGGATGTACGTATCTCAAAGGTCAAACTGTGCCCACACACACAGAACACTCAATAAATACTTCGCAAATAAAAAAATCCTTTAAAACCAGTTATAATATGCTATTATAAAATCCCATAATTAAGTGGTGTTTTAAAAACATAACAAGAGTGGAGTTAGGGTACCTGAACTGTTTTAAATTAAGAGGTAGAAGCCACCCCTTTCTGGGATTTGAATAAATGTAATGTGTGAGGAGTAAAATACTCTACATGTGTGGAACTGTGAAAGCAGGCCGCGGTTTTAGCAGCGCTCCTGACGGTACCTCTGAAGTCTCCCAATTGGACTGTCCTCTGAAAGCAGTGGGCCTCCGTCCCCCTCTGCATCTCCCCTCCGTGTTCGTTCTTCTGTGCATCTGTTCCTGTGTGTTTCTGAGTCACTGTCTTCCTCTGTGTCTGTCTCATTGTTGCTTTTACTCTATTACTATCCCTTTCTTTACCTCCTCTGCTGTTTTCCAACTTCTCAACTTACTAGTGATGAAAGCTAAGCACAACATGCATTTAAGTGAATTTCTCATTATTTGCACTCTATTACTTGTAGGTAAAGTTCTGTCCTGTTTTTAATGTAACACATAGGTTATGTAGAACATTTTGTCTTTTGCTTTTCCCAAACCCCACCCTCTGCTATTTTTAAAAAGCTACTGATTGACTTCTCTTTGTAGCCCTGAGGTCCTTATATAAAGAAGGTTCCCCACTTCCATTTTAATACATTAACCCAGAAAGACAACACCTACCCCAAGAGTCTCTAAAGCTTTACTTGCTAGACCTTTAATTTCAAGTACATAGTTCTCTATCCTGCCACCAAAGAAAAGAACCAAGTCTCTTCAGAGCTTTTAAGTCAAGGTTCCTAGACCTGGATGTTGTTTATAGACACATGACTGCTGGCCTAAACCAAGCGACACCCACAGAGACTAACTCGGATTCCCCCAGGGTCCTACGGAGAAAAGTACTTCCATTAAATGCCTGTGTTGCCACACCTCGAGGAAGAGCTTGTAACTGACTGTGAATTTTTTCTGCAAAAGGCCCAACAGATACTTGGCCGGAGGAATAGCCTGGTGTCCCAGACAAAGTACTACCTGAAGCTGTTTTTAATAATGATCCAGGATTCACTTACTGTCCTCCTCTGTTGAGTGGGTTCCTTCAGAAATGTAGATTTCCAGCTAGAAAGAAAAAATATTAAAAGCAAAACATTTAGAGCATTCCAAGATAAGAAGTGAAGTGGAATGTACAATGGATTCAAGATTCCAGGGATAAAAGTCCAAATCCTATTTCTTCCATCAAAGACGTAGGAACAAGGTCCCCAGACTCTTCTCTGAAACAAAGGCTGAAATGAGTAGGATTCTAAGTTTTGGTCATCTGGGAAAGGTCTGCAGGGGCATTGCATTTTTTAAAATATACACCAATATAATTTTATACAAATAAGATCTCATGTATGTTTCGGTTATGATATCCCTCCTGCACTCTAATTCGTCTTCCCAAATCAAGTAGCTAAACTTGCTTCCTGCCTCACTCCCCAGGAAAGCTACATTAATGATCCAGTGTGACTTCTTCCATACTTTTCTCCATACCCCCATAATCAAACACATTTCACACACACACACACACACACACACACGGATGGACATTCCTTTACTTATTTTACAAAAATGGGATCACGGCATACAGTTTTCAGTATCCTCCTTTTCCCATCCACTTTTACCCCAACAAATCTATCCTCAGCACGACACTGGGAACGCCACTCGTCCTGGTCCCGCCGCACTCACTCCCTCAGATCAGCTACTCCCTACGAACCCAGGCTGTGAGTGGGACCCACGAAATTACCACCAGTCTTGTGGTAAACAAGTCATGCTATATGGTAAAGACATGTTTACTCCTCAGAGAACAATGGAACATATGAACTAATTCTTATATACTTATTTACTATTGAGATAAATGTTTTTCATGAGTGAAAAAAAATCATAGCATATCTATCAGGGCTAAGAGAGACCTTAGAGATCATCTAGTCCCGTCTTTTTTTTTTTTGAGGGGTGTACCACCAACAAACAAGGATTTATGTGGAAATTTCCAAACCTGCCTAAAGTGGCAGTTTCCCAGCCCTAGCCCCAACCTCCTTACCAAGCTCCAAATAGCGACGAGTTCTCCCCGCCTCCCCCACCCCACCCACACCTTGAGCCAAGCCGGGGAACTTGAGCAGCCCCTTCCTCTAGGTTTTAAAGCCCTGGGCCCAAGCACTGGGGTGCAACCCCCTGGCACCCCAGGAGATGAGACGGCCAGAGCCACTTACATAGACTGAGCAAAGAAAATAGAGGAGGAGGCACCAACTGGGCTCCTTGAAAACCCCCAACTTATCCCTTGTACAAAAAGGTGGCTCCTGCATAGAACGGCCTGCTCCCCAAATAGTGTAAATACCCAAAAGAAAGGAAAAAGCCAGCAGCAAGGCTAGGCTAGTAGGCATAGCAAAGAACATTGGTTTAGTAAGGCTAGGAGAAGCCCTGGCTGATGGGTGGCTCGGTGGATTGAGCACTGGCCTGAGAAATGAAAGGCTGCTGGTTCGATTCCCAGTCAGGGCACGTGCCTGGGTTGTGGGCCAGGTCCCCAGTTGAGAGTGTGTGAGAGGCAACCATTCCCTTACACAGCAATATTTCTCTCCCTCTCCGCCTCCCTTCCTTCCCCTTTCACTGGGGGACAGGGGGAATCTAAAAAAAAAAAAAAAATAGAAAGGCTAGGAACAGTGTGAGCTGTGCCCTTCTTCCTTGCCCAGCTCCCCAGAGCCAGCATGGCCACTTGCTTGTCCCAAGGGGATGTCTGTTAAGAAGTAAAGCCAGTAGCCTTTCCTTGTGAAACACCCCCATTACAATGTCAAGGCAGGGCCTCCAGGAGTTCTACTTGGGCCTGCCTGTAGAGGGCAGAGGCATCAGCAGTGAACCCAATTAAAGCCAACATATACAGTAATAAGGGTATAGGGTTCAAGAAATAAGGAATTCTATCAGTACATTTATAAAACCAAAGCTGAGAAGCTGAGAGGCAGAGGATGACAGGAAAAACCACACACCCCCTTCCTGATCCCGAGTGTCTGCAGCCTCAGGTGGTGGTCCCTCCCGGGCTGGGGACAGGATGGCTCCAAAGCTGGGAGAAAAGGAAGGGATCCCTGAACAGTCGGGTCAGGTGAGTTTGCAGCATCTGTCCCAGTTCCTGCCTTCGCTGCTTCACTTTGGCAAAGACAGGCCTTCCCACTGCTTCCTGGGCCCAGGGCTGGTGGTAGAAAACAGCTCATCTCTCCTCCTCAGGATTCTCAATCACATCAGTGATGATACTGAGGCCTCAGAGCTGGGGATGGAGCCACTCCTGGATGAAGTCCTGGGGGTTGGTGCTAAAGCAGAGAATGAAATCCCTTTGGCTCTTCAAATGGTTGATGAACTCAATGGTTTTGGGATCTGGACAACAACGGAGGCAACCTCCTACTGATTGGTGGTAAAGGCCAGAAAATTGCTCATCTGGGTCTTGAGTAGGTCATCCACCTCCACATTAATGTCATAACAGGATGCCTTCTTCTGTCTTCTGGTTGTCAGGGCCCATGCAAATGACATGGTCAATGACAACGGGGTCTGGAGGCAGCAGCAACCCAGCCAGCTTCATGCAAATCTCAGAGAAGTGGAGTTGACCACAACTGAAGATCTGGTGAAGTAACGATGCAGCTGATGAACTCGTGCTCAAGCCTGTCCCTCAGCTGGCTGTATGTGTTGTAAAGCCACAGGGCCTGCATGATGGTGGCCCCCATCTATGTGTGCACTCCCAGCAGCCCCGCCAGTCTGGGGACCAACTTGTACTGGGGAGGCTGATGATTTAGCATGAGCAGGAGGGTGCACTTGATCTTGAGGTCTCCAGGCCATTTCACCTGGAAGCCATCTGTCTCCTGGGTGGTGGGCAAATGCCACTCCACCAGGTGGTTGTCAGGCTCATTGAGCTAAACGATTCCTTGTCTAGCTCAAAGACAAGGCTCTTTAAGAGTGACAAGAACTTCCTCTTCTGTTTGCTAAGGTTGTCCAGGAGTTTGCCTCCACTTGGAATGTCCAAGAAGCCACCTTGTTCCTTGCTGAGGTTACTCCAGGTGTCCCTGCAGTTTCTGCATGGTGCCCTCCCACCTTGCTGGGATTTAACGTATTGGGAATATAGATCCATACCTTTCTTTTCTTTAATAATTTTTATTTACTTTTTAAATTTTCTTATTTATTTATCTTTAGAGGGGAATGGAAGGAGAGAGGGACAGAAATATCAATGTATGGTTGCCTTTCATGAGTCCCCTTGCTGGGAACTGGCCTGCAACCCAGGCATGTGCCCTGACTGAGAATCGAACTGCAATCCTCTGGTTCGCAGGCCAGGGCTCAATCCACTGAGCTACACCAGCAGGGCACCTTTCATTTTTTGTGTTAGAGGCTTTTTGATGACTTCCTGGATCTCCATCCACTTGTGAGCAATGGTCTGATCCAGCTCCCACTCAAAAGCCAAGAGACCCATGTACACCTGAGACTCTGGGACAAGGTCCTGAATTTGCTGAGGAAGAACTTTATCTGCATGTCCCTCCTCTTGCATCCCTGTAGCTGGGTGGGCATTGGGGTTTGGGGCTAGGGCACAAGCAGGCATTATCGGAATGGGTCCATCACGGTGGGTGGCATGCCAGGTCGAAGTGGAGTAGCTGTGCCAAACAGGGGTCCAATCTGCAAGTCAGCCATGGGTATCCAGCTCCCTGGTGACATGTCAGGCCACTGGGAAACATGGGGTGAAAGGAGGTGGCTCTGGGGACCCCACACCTCCAGCTGGCCTTGGGCCCGAGTGCCAGTCCAGGCAGCAGGCCAGGTCTAGCTGTTGGAGGTGCACACCCTAGTCCAGTGTTTTGAAAGACAAAACATCATATAAATTCCTGTAGCTGCATAATACTAACTCTTACTCTAGACAAGGAGATAACAGAGTAATAGATATGAAATCTTCATACTCATTTCCTCTGGTTTACAATTATGCATGACTCATTATTCTGAAAAATGGTATGCAAAGAAGAGTCAAGCATTTACCATGCTATTGCTACATGAACTATACTTCAGGGTAACCAAGCAGTTGGTCTGGTACCTTGCAAGCATAAAAGATTCTAAACTTAAGAGGTTTCTTGTAGCCCTTTTAAGTGGACCTTATTTGGTTTTAAATTTTGGGCACATGAAAAATGCTCAACATTATTAGCCATTAGACATATGCAAATCAACACCTCGATGAGATATCACTTTAATGCAGTAGGATAGCTGCAACGAAAAAAAGAAGTGCTGACGAGGACATGGGAAATCAGAGCTCTCATTCAATGCCGGGAAATGTAAAACGGTGGAACAGCTGTGGGAAACAGTCTGGCAGTCCCCCAGAAGGTTAAACACAGACAGAAACTACTCAAGTGACCATCAACTGACAAACGATAAATAAAATATGGTATATCCACACAATGGAACAGTAGAAGGCCATAAAAAGGAATGAAATACTGATACATATTACGACATGGATAAATTGTGAAAATATTATTCTACGAGAAAGAAGCCGGTCGAAGCTACAAATTGGATGACTCCATTAAAACAAAACGTCCAGACCAGGCAAATCTAGAGGGACAAAAAGTAGGTTAGTGGTTGCCGAGGAATGGAGGAGGGTGTGGAGAAGTGGAGAGTGACTGTTTGATAACAGGATTTCTTATTGGGAATGATGAAAATGTTCCAAAATTAATAGTACAGGGAGCCATGGCCCTGCCAGGGCCCAAACTCCAGCATCAGACAGTAGCAGCGGCAGCAGCAAGAGGATGTGCCAGACTGGGACCACTGCCAAAAATCATTAAGGTAGAACTAAAGCTAGGCACCCAGTCAGGATGGTGGCCTGGGTAAAAATGGCTCACACCTGTGTGCAACCACATCAAAATTAAATTATAGAACAACCATCACTCAGAACTATCAGAAATCAAGTTGAATGGAAGTCTGACAACTATGAAATTAAAGAAATCACACCTATCCAGACTGGCAGGAGGGGCAGAGACACAGAATGGGATGATCTCATATCCACATGTGGTGGATAACAATTTGAGAGAGAGATCTTGGGAGCGAGGACCCCCAGCCCAGGGTTCCAGTGTCAGGAAGGTAAGTCCCCATAACTTCTGGCTGCAAAAACCAGAAGTGGGGATTGAGTCAGTGAAAGAAACTGTGGAATCCCAGGCAATTCCCCTGATAGAACCCACACATGGACTTTTTCAGACTCACTCCCTCTGAGCTCCAGCACCAGGATGGCAGCTTGAAAGGCAACAGTGGCACACAGGAAGGGACTGAAGTGTCTGGTGGCAAGGCAAGAACTGCAGGACAGTTTTCTCCCAGACAGAAAGGCAGGCGGAAGCCATTCTCCCTTTTCTGAGCCTTCCCCCACACAGAGCCAGAGAGAGCAGGGTGATGCCGTAACTGAGACTCCATCAACTTGGCTAAAACTGTTTGCCCTGCCTCGGAGATCCTGAGACCACATCCACCCAACTTACAAGCCCACTCAAACCGTTAACCAGGACTTATCCTTATGAATGGTGGGTCTTGGCTTATGCTTCACAACTTCCTAAGCCCTTTCAAATAAGCAACAGCTGGCCTCAATGAGCCCCAAGAGCCCTGTACCTCTTGCTAAGCAGCCTCAGGCCTGTCATTAGCAGCAGCCAGCGAGGATTCACATCTTGGCTTCACCTGGGAATCTCCAAGCCCAGCACAAGTAGCAGCCATCTCAGATTGCTTTACAGTTGAGGCAAGGCAGCCTGGGCAAAACACAGATGGGAGCTAACTTTGGCCTGCGCCACCCAGGAAATCCGAGTCTAAACACCCAGTGGACAGCTACAGACCACATTGGAGCACCATGACCCTGCCCCTGCACAGCTGACCCTCTACAGAGGGCAAAGTTTGATGGTCAGTGGTCACAGCTAATCCTTGCTGCTGACTGGTCTGAGTAAATCTCTTCCATTGACCTGCCATCAGCAACCAAGGCTTGACTATAATAGAAGGGTGTGATCAGCCTACGCAAAGGGCACACCTTGAGTACCCAGCTTGGGTGATAGGGGAAGCTGTGCCACTGGACACTACAGGACACCTACTACATTAGGCCACACTAACAAGACGATAAGTCATAGCAGCTCCACCTAATACACAGAAACAAACACAGGGAGGCTGCCAAAATGAGGAAACAAAGAAACACGGCCTAAATGAAAGAACAGATAAAATCTCTAGAAAAAGAACTAAACAGAACAGAGATAAGCAATCTGTCAGATGTACAGTTCAAAACTCTGGTTACAAGGATGCTGAAGGAACTTAATGAGGATCCCAGAGGCATAAAAAAGATCCAGTCTACACTCCATCAGAGGCTACACTCATTGAAATAAAGCACAATTTACAGGGAAACAGCAATAGAGTGGGTGAAGCTGAGAATCAAATCAATGATTTGGAACATAAGTCAGCAAAACACAACCAAACAAAACAAGAAGAAGAATCCAAATAGGTGAGGATAGTGTAAGCAACCTCTGGGACAACTTCGAGCATTCCAAAATTCACAACATAGGGGTGCAGAAGGAGAAGAAAAAGAGCAAGAAATTGGAAATCTATATTTGAAATAATAATGAGAGAAAACTTTCCTAATTTGGCGACGGAAACAGACATGCCTATGCAGGAAGCACAGAGCCCCGAACAAGGTGGATGCAGGCCAAGAGGAAACAGAGACCTGACCAGATCACTGAGGAGGGTTAGGGAGGGGCCGCAGGAGGTTACCCGAGGGAATGGTAAACAGTCTAGGGCTAGATTGGCTGATAAGCTGAAAGACTCCAGAGCCCCAGGAAGGAATTAGGGCCCAGAAGATTTAAAATAAAAAGAGAGCAGAGATGGGTGCTTGGACTCTTCTTCCTCAGAGATGCCTGGGCGATCATGCTGCAGCTGCCTGCATTTCCCAAAGGATGGTATTTTGGACGGATTTGGGATGGGAGAAGAAACTCCAGGCACAGCCTAGGACGGGGCTGGTCTGGCAGAGGGTGGCAGGGTTATTTTCTTTGGCTGTTCTAGAGGGAATGGGCTCTGAGGCAGGAGCCTGCCAATCTTCCAAAATTGTGTGGCTTTTGTACCTTATGTTGCTTTGTTTGTAAACTAATCTTATAGAAGATAATTATAAACTAACAGGGGAATGACAGGAGAACAGAGTGATTAAAGCTGTTAATTAATTAAAGAGTTAAAGAGTTTAACCTTAATTGATAGGCTTACGTGATTGAAGCTGTAAGTGACTAATGTATGTGGAAAGCTATTATTCCAAAATTGTGTTGTTTTTGAATAAAGACTCCTTTTCTTCATACCAAACCTTTTTCTCTGGAATTCTGCCCAGAGGGTGGTGGCGGGCAGCAGGACTCCACTTGCTGTTTGGTAACAAAGACACATCATAATTAAAATGCCAAAGGTTAAAGATAAAAGCACCAAGAGAAACCAGTTAGTTACCAACAGGGGAGCACCATAAGGCTGCCAGCTGATTTCTCAAAAGAAATTTTGCAGGGTAGAAGGGATTGGCAAGAAATATTCAAAGTCGGGAAAAGCAGGGACCTACAGCCAAGACTGCTCTACCCAACAAAGATATCATTTAGAATATGAGGGCAGATAAAGAGCTTCCCAGACAAAAAAGAAAAAAAAAACTAAAGGAGTTCATCATCACCAAACAATTATATGAAATGATAAAAGGATTTATTTAAGAAAAATAAGAAGATAAAAACTATCAACGATAAAATGGCAATAAATATGTATCTACCAACAAGTGACTCTAAGAAACAAACTAAGCAAACAAGAAGAACAGGGACAGAACCATGGGTTTGGAAAGCATTTTGATGGTTGCCAGATGGGAGGGGGGTGTGAGAATGGGTGAGGAGGTGAGGGGACTAAGAAGTACAAATATGTAGTTACAGAATAGCCGTGGGGATGTAAAGTATAGGAAATGGAGTAGCCAAAGAACCTACACACATGACCCGTGGACATGAACAATGGTGTGGGGATTGCTGAGGGAGTGGGGGGTGCTGGGTGGAGGGGGGGCAAAGGGAGAAAAATCAGAACTGTAATAGTATAATCAATAAACTATAATGTAAAAGGAAACAAAATTAATAGTAGTGATTCTGTGCAATGCAGTGAATATGCTAAAAACTACTGTACATTTTGAGTAGGTGAAGTGTATAATTTCTATGAAATCTCAACAAAACCTTTATAAAACAACAAAAAACATTTTCCTTACCTTATGTTTAAATGGTAAACACCGCTGAAGTTTTACTCTTAAGCACAGTCCTGTGAAGGAAAAAAAAAAGCCCCAATTATCCCTTTTTATTGGGTCTTGAAAAGCACACAGCTAATACAGTAGCTGAAAACAGCTTTGGCTCAATCCACTGCAGGTCTCCTTTGAGCCTTACAGCACGGCAGCACTCTGATATAGATACAGCCTGACAGCCCTGGCTGGTGTTGCTCAGTGGATTGAGCGCTGGTCACCAGTTTGATTCCTAGTCAGGGCACGTGCTGGGTTGCAGGACAGTTTCCTGGTTGGGCACATGTGAGAGGCAACCAACTGATGTTTTTCTCCCTTCCTTTCTCCCTCCCTTCCCCTTTCGCTGAAAATAAATAAAATCTTTGTCCTGCCTGGTATGGCTCAGTGGATAGAGGGCCAGCCAGTGAACCAAAGGGTTGCTGGTTCAGTTCTCGGTCAGGGCCCATGTCTAGGTTGTGGACCAGGTCCCCACTGGTATTTCTCTCCCTCTCTTTCTCCTCACTCTCCTTTCCCCTCTCTCTAAAAATAAATAAAATCTCTTAAAAAAGAGAGAGCGAAAGATTAAGTAACTTGCACTAAAAAATTTTCATTTTGTAAAATAGATTTTGATTTTAAATATTGATTATATTTATTACAGTTGTCCTATTTCCCCTCTTCATTCCCCTCCACCCTGCACACCCCTTCCCCACCATTCCCCCCTTTCATTTATGTCCATGTGTCACAAGTTCTTTAGATTCTAGATTTCCCCTGCTATTCTTGCCCTCCCCCTGTCTATTTTCTATCTACTGTCTATGCTACTTATTCTCTGTACCTTCTCCCCCCTTCTCCTCCTCCCACTCCCCTGTTGCTAACTCTCCATGTGATCTCCATTTCTATGGTTTTGCTCCTGATCTAGCTGTCCTCTTAATTTGCTTTTGTTTTAGGTGTGGCTGTTAATAACTATGAGTTTGCTGTCCTTTCACTGTTCATCTTTTTTATCTTCTTTTTCTTAGATAAGTCCCTTTAACATTTCATACAATAAGGGCTTGGTGATGATGGACTCCTTGAATTTGATCTTATCTGAGAAGCACTTTATCTGCCCTTCCATTCTAAATGAAAGCTTTGCTGGTAGAGCAATCTTGGTTGTAGGTCTTTGGATTTCATGACTTGGAATACTTCTTTCCAGCCCCTTCTTGCCTGTAAGGTCTCTTTTGAGAAATCAGCTGACAGTCTGATGGGAACTCCTTTGTAGGTGACTGTCCCCTTATTTCTTGCTGCTTCTAGGATTCTCTCCTTCATTTTAATCTTGGCTAATGTAATTATGATGTGCCTTGGTGTGTTCCTTCTTGGGTCCAGCTTCTTTGGTACTCTCTGAGCTTCCTGGATTTCCTGGAAGTCTATTGCCTTTGCCAGATTGGGGAAGTTCTCCTTTATTATTTGTTCAAGTAACTTTTCCACATGTCGCTCTTCCTCTTCCCTCTTCTGGTACCCCTATAATTCAGATGTTGGAATGTTTAAATATGTCCTGAAGGTTCCTAAGCCTCTCCTCATTTTTTTGAATTGTTTCTTCACTCTTTTATGTTTGGTCATATTTTTCTTCCTTCTGGTCCACTCCCTTGATCTGAGTCCCAGTTTCCTTTCCATCACATTGGTTTCCTGAGCATTTCCCTTCATTTCAATTAGTTTAGCCTTCATATGTTCCTCTAATTTGTGACTAAAATCAACCAGTTCTGTGAGCATCCTGATCACCAATGTTTTAAACTGTGCATCTGATAGGTTGGGTATCTCTTGGTCGCTTAGAAGTATTGGCTCTGGGGCTTTGAGTTCTTTCTGAGCCATAATGTTTTTGTCTGTTCTCCCCTGTTATGTATGAGGGGAGGAGCCTTAGGTGTTCATCAGGGTGGGACAACCCCAGTAGCTGGGTTGTGATGCTATGTGTGGGAGCAGGGTCAGAGAGGGGCAATGGCATTTGTTCCACTCTCCCAGATTTTGGTTCCCTTTGCTGCTTCCCACAAGCAAACTGGGCCCCCCTGGTGCCAGCCCCCTGGTGTGTGGGTCTGTGCACCCTCCAGGACCCTGTGGGTCTCTCCAACAAACTCTCTGTGAGCCTGGGAGCTTCTCCCAGCACCTCAACCACGAAAGTTTTTCCAATTGGTGCTTTTAGGCTTTAATTCCCGTCACTGGGGCCCTAGCCTGTGCGGACTGTCTCACTGCTCGCTCCTTCACCTGGTTTATCTGTGCGCAAATGTGTGACTGCAGTCAGCCAGCCGCCAGCGCCTTCACAGGGTCCGCCCGTTGCCACCCCACGCCTGGGATCTGCCAACCGCAGCCTGCACTCTTGAGTCAATCCGGCAGGTTTTTTCCTGCCCAACCCCACTCCACCAGCTACTGACTCCGCCCCTCTTACCGGTCTGGCTGAAGGGTTCTTTGTTGTCGGACTTCCATATAGTTCAATTTTCTGTGTTTTGGTTGTGTTTTTGTTACTAAAATTTTGTTGTCTTTAAACTTGGTTGTGTGAGGAGGCACAGTGTTTCCACCTACGCCTCCATCTTGGCCGGAAGTCAACATTTTCATTTTTTAAAAGACTTTATTTACTTTTAGAAAGAGGGGAAGGGAGGAAGAAAGAGAGAGAAACATTGATGTGTGAGATACGTCAATTTGTTGCCTCTTGTATGCCCCAACTAGGGACCTGGCCAGCAACCCAGGCCTATGCCCAGACTGGGAATCGAAACTGCCACCTTTCAGTTTGCAGGCTGACACTCAATCCACTGAGCCACACCAGCGAGGGCTCAAAATATTTTAAGACATCTCCTTCATATCAGGATAGTAGCAGTACTTTCAATATCTGTTGATTCAGAATTTGTCCAATAACAAAAAATAATTATGAGTTCAACAATGCTTTTTCTACTACTGGAATTTTAATAACCACAATAGTATCTATGTTTTAACCATCCTTCAAGATAAGATGTAGCCCATAGGCTGGAAGCCACTAACAGAGGAATCCCAGGTCAACAAGTGAGAGGAGAAACACACAAATCACAACAGTAGAAATAATAATAAAATATTTACCCATTCAACCCATTTTATAAACTTGTCTGTTTTTAAATAGGCAATATATTCCCGTGCTTCAAAAACTTAAAAATACAGGGAGGGGGCAAAAGTAGGTTTACAGTTGTTCATGTGGAAAATAATACAATAATTAATAAATAATAATACAAGAATAAGCTGTGTTTCATGTACTCACCACTGTAAACCTACTTTTGCCCCATCTTATATAAAAAGATACACGTGAAAGTCTCCCTCCCATCCTGTCCTCCATCTGACCAGTTCCCACTGCTACTGCTACCCGTCCCCAACCACAGCTCTTCATTTTCTTAGGCATTCTTTCTGCACATGCAACCAAGTACAAATGCACATTTTTGCCTTTTTTACACAAGTGTAACAACAGCATAACTGCTTTTACTTCCTAATATTATATTAAAGAGATGTTCCCAGGTACGCACATGGACAGCACATCTACTCTTTTTTATTGCTGCATAGTATTCCAGTGTTAATAAACACACCATCACTGATTATTTAATCAATCTGCTACTGATGAACAGATTTGGTTTGAAATAAAATTCCTTTATCTTCTTTAAAACGTAAATAATAGGTAGACACCTATACACATCTATTGTATATCTTACTGCTAACTAATCTAAAATATTACAAATGCAACCTCTCCAATAGAAAACCACTTCAAAAAATACCCTCTCACCGGACGTCTGCCCAAACTACACAGATGCTTCTCCTTAAAAGGAGAAGACAGTGATGGCAGTAGTGCTAGTCTGACAGTGCCCATTTCAAGCTCCAAAACTAAGAGATGGCCTACACCCACTCTCCACCAGCTGTACGCATGCGCACCTAAGAGAAGTAGCACCTAGAGGAGAAACACATTTGGAGTCAGGTGGTCTGGGTTTCAGTCTCAGCTCCACCACTCCTTGGCTACATGATCCTGAGCTTAAACTCTCAACCTCCAATTCTTCATCTATAAAATGAAGATAATACAACATTAACTCTCTCATAGGCTAACTGTGATGACTACAGAAGATGGACACAGTCGTCCCTCACTGTCCAATATACACCAAAATCCACAGATGCTCATGCCCATTATATTAAAATGGCCTGGTGTTTGCATATAACCTATGAACACCCTCCCGTTTACTTTCAATCATCTCTAGATTACTTATAATACCTAGTACAACGTAAATGCTATGTAAATAGTGGTTATACTGTATTGTTTAGGGAATAATGACAAGAGAGAAGTCTGTACATATTGAGTACTGATGCAACCACCTTAGGCCTAGCTATGTAGTACATCTCAGAACAACGTCATTTTTTCTTTCCCAAATGTTTTTGATCCCTGGTTAGGTGAACCCGCCATTGCAGAACCCACAGATATGAGCCGAATGTACATGAAAATACTCTGTAAACCATGAAGTTGTGATACATGATGCTAATTGCTATTCTGGGTCAGTATCAGCTAGAATAATTGAGAATTAAACATATAACTGTACATAAAACCTTACCAATAAGAGTTGCCAAAGAGCAATGAGGTACTGTTGGCGTGAACCTGATAATAACCAGATAGTCCTCTTCGTTTATCTCCTGAACCTCCACACAGCTCTCCGTTACCACCTCCAGTTCTTCCAGAGTATTGGGCTTCTCTGGGTCCCGGATAGTTCGAATCAAATCTGAAGAATCGAGACAGGCACGGTAAAAACACAAATATTCGAAATAAGATGATTTTGCCAGCCCTAATTAAAATGTATACTCTTCTTTGCATTTAAGCAAAGACTGGAGAAACTCACCAGATTTCTCACAAGATTCCCCACTAGTAGTTTCCTCTTGAGAAAAGTGTTTTCTTAGATTATTATTAGAAGATATCCAGTGTCTTGGATTCAACATTGTAGGGAGGACGTAAGAACAGGGAAAGTGTCCTACAAGCTCATAAGGAAGCACTAACTTTTAGCTTATGAGACTGTAATATCAGGACTTACGGAAGTGGAATCTGAATCAGGCCTTTGAGAACGGGTAACATTTTAATATTCGACATTTAAGGTGAAAGAAAGTAAAGAACCAGAAATTTAGTTTGCCTGGAACCCAGCATAAATGAAGACGATGTGAGAGTTTGGGCCAAACCACCAAGCACAGGATGTCCTCAAGAGGTTTTTTTCTTTCTTTTTAAAATATTTATTTACTTTAAGAGAGATGGGAAGGGAAGGAGAAAGAGAGGAAGAGAAACATCAGTGTGTGCTTGCCTCTCACGTGCCCCCTGCTGGGTGTACAGCTTGAGCTGCAACCCAGGCATGTGCCCTAACTGGGAATTGAACCGGCAACCCTTTGGTTCGCAGGCTGCTCAATCTGTTGAGCCACACCAGGGCCCAGCCAGGGCTCAAGAGATTCTGAACAAGGGAGTGACATGGCCACCATTACACTGTCAAATGGTAACTCACGCACCAGCTGATGGACAAGAACTAAAGAGCAGGGCCAAGGAGAGCAGCTGAAAAAGTTGGGCCTAAAACAGGCACCTAATGATGGTAACAGAGAGAGACAGAGGAAGAAGTAATTTCTGAGGCAAAATCAACAGAATTTATTTGATTCCCAGTCAGGGCACATGCCTGGATTGCAGACCATATGCCCAGTGTGGGGTGTGCTAGAGGCAACCACACATTGATGTTTCACTCCCTCTCTTCCCCTCTCTATTCCCCCATCTCTCTAAAATAAATAATATCTTTTAAAAAGGTAACAGAATTTGACAACTGATTAAAAGTAAAAAAGAAGGAAAGGGAAAAAACGGAACATGACTCAGATTTTAAGTGTAAGTGTCTGGGAGAACCCTGATAGCATTGAAATAACAGAACACAGGAATGAATTTGAGTGAGGGCTATGGCAAATGATTTTAATTGTATACATAATGATTTTGCTGAAGGAACAAACCAATGGTACATTCCAGCAAACAATGAACCACGACATAAGGTTAAGAGAGCACCAAGGCTAGAGTAGTTGTTGAACCTATGAGACTCACAAGGAAGACTGAGAACAGTAGTTTTCAATCTTGGCTGAACAACAGAATCACCAGGAAACCCTTAAAAAAACAAAAAGCGGGACTTCTAGTCAAGATGGCAATGTAGGTAAACACCATTTGCCTCCTTGCACAACTATATCAAAGTTACAACTAAACTATACAACAACCGTAATTCTGAACCATCAGAAATAGAGCTGAACAGAAGTCCTACTACTACAGAATCAAAGAAGAAACCACATCAAGACTTGTAGGGGGTGGAGATGCAGAACAGGCTGTTCCCACACCCATGTGTGGCAGATAAAAATTGGGAGAGATATCTCAGGAGTAAAGGGTCCCAGCCCCATACCAGGCCCCCCAGCCCAGGGTTCCAGAACCAGGAAGATAAGTCCCCATAACTCCTGGCTGTGAAAACCAGTGAGGATTGAGGCTGTGGAAGATAGAAACTGCTGGAATCTCGGGCAGTTCCTCTTAAAAGGCCCATGCACCAACTTATTCAGACTCACTCCATCTGAGCTCCAGCTTGGGGGGGGCAGATTGAAAGGCATCAGAGACATACTGGGAGAAACTGAAGTGTCCAGCATCAGGACGAGAGCTGGGGGGGAGGGCAGCTTTCTCCCAGACAGAAGGGCTGGCAGAGGCCATTGTTCCTTTCCTGAGCCCTCCCCCAGAGAGCCACAGAGCCTGCAGGGCCATATCTGAGATTCCATCAACCTGGCTCACTCTGTTTTCTTGACAGTAGTGATACTGCCTGCCCCACCCAAGTTGTTGTCATCAGCATTTCCACATGAATGGCTTGTTCTGGCCCATGCTGCAGATTTTCCTAATTTCTCTCAGCAAGCAGCCTCTGTCTTCAGTGAGCCCTATACTTCCTGCTAAGTTACCCCAGGCCCAGGACCAGCAGCACTAGTCCTTGGCCTGCTTGGGCACCTCCAAGCCCAGCATGCGTAACAGCCATCTGCAGATCGCTTTGTAGCTTGTGTTGTGTGACCCTGGAGAGAACACAGGCAGTGGCTGACCTTGGATGTGAAAACAGCAATCAAGGCCCAACTACCACAAGAGGGTGTACACAGACCACATGGAGGGTGCACTTTGATTACCCAACTTGGGTAAAAGGGGAGGCTGTGCCACTGGACCCTAGAGAACACCTAGTACATTAGGCTACCCTACCAAACCTGGAGACGTAGGAGTTCTACCTAATACAGAGAAATACAGGGAGGATGTCAAAATGAGGAAACAAAGAAACATGGCCCAAATGGAAGAACAGATCAAAACTCCAGAGAAAGAAGTAAACAAAATGGAGATAAACAATCTACCAGATGCAGCGTTCAAAACACTGGTTATAATGATGCTCAAGGAACTTAGCGAGGACCTCAAAAGCATAAAAAAGATCCAGGCAGAAATGAAAGCTACACTAATTGATATAAATAACAATTTACCAGGAAACAACAGTAGAGTGGATGAAACCAAAAATCAAATCAGCAATTTGGAATATAAGGAAGCAAAAATATCTACTCAGAACATCAAGAAGAAAAAAAAAAGAGTTCAAAAAAAAAATGAGGATAGTGCAAGGAGCCTCTGGGACAACTTCAAGCATTCCAACATTCACATCACGAGGGTGCCAGAAAGAGATGAGAGAAAGAAATTGGAAACCTATTTGAAAAAATAATAACAGAAAATTTCCCTAACTTGGTGATGGAAATAGCCATATAAGTCCAGGAAGCGCAGAGTCCCAAACAAGATAAACCCAAAGAGGCCCACGCCAAAACACATCATAATTAGAATACCAAAGGCTAAAGGTAAAGAATCTGAAGAGCAGCAAGAGAAAAGCAGTTAGTTTCTCTAACAGAGGAATTCCCATAAAACTGTCAGCTGATTTCTCAAAAGAAACTTTGTAGGCTAGAAGGGAATGGCAAGAAACATTCAACGTGATGGAAAGCAAAGACCTACAACCAAGATTACTCTACCCAGCAAAGTTATCATTTGGAATTGAAGGACAGACAAGAGCTTCCCAGATAAGAAAAAGATAAAGTTCGTCATCACCAAACCATTATTACATGAAATGTTAAAAAGTCTTTTTAAGATAAAAAATATAAACAATAAATGCCAATAAATACGTATCTATCAACAATGAATCTAAAAAACAAAATAAACAAGAAGAACAGAAACAGAATCACAGACACAGAGAACGTTTTGATGGTTGTCAGATGGCAGGGGATGGGGATGGGAAACGAGCAAAAAAGAAGAAGGGATTAAGAAGTACGAATAGGTAGTTACAGAATAGTCATGGGGATGTTAAGTACAGCATAGGGAATAGAGTGGCGAAAGGACATATATGCATGACCCATGGACATGGATAACGGTGTGGGCACTGACTGAGGGAGTGGGGGCCGGCCAGAGGGGAGCACAAGGGTAAAGACTGGGACAACTGTAATAGCATAAACGATAAAATATAACTAAAAAATAATTTAAAAATGAACAAAAACTAATTTCTGAGTCCTACTCCCAGACTGTCTGATTTAACTGATTTGTCATATGGCCTGGGCATTGAGACTTTAAGAGACCCAAAGACAGATCTGTGAAAAGCACCTAATTTAGGCATCAGAAGAAGGAAGAAAAACACAAAGAAGGGAAGACAGGGTTAGTTAATAACATTGACCTCGTTGTAAGTTTGAAGACAACATCATCTCTCTCTCTCTCCCAAAGTTGTACCCCATGGGCCTTGCTGCCACTAGAAGCCATAGCTAGAGGCCTGACAGGACAACGTGTCCATCTACATGTCCAACGTGTCCTCCACTTTGTGGAGGTCATTCCACTCATATTGATCATCTGGCTGGGACTGATTAGGTTCTGCCTCTGGCACAGAGAGGTAAACTAGATCAGCTTCAAAGGTCTTTTCCATCCCTGGCTTCCTTCTCCTGGCCTATAATTCTTATCTGTATTACATTTGTATTCTTAAGGTTATGTTTTTCTTTCTCAGCAGAAACCTCTGAACGTTAGTTAGCTACTCCTTTTCAGTTTGCAAAGACAGTACTCTCTGGTGTGACTCAGTGGGAGGAGCACCGGCCTGAAAAATGAAAGGTCTGGGGTTCCATTCCCCATCAGGGCACCTGCCTGGGTTGTGAACCAGGCCCCCCACTGAGGGTGTGGGAGAGGCAACCAATCAACGTTTCTCTCGCACATTGATGTCTCTGTCCCTCTCCTCTTTCCTCCCTTCCCTTATCTCTAAAAAAAATAAAATAAAAAATTTAAAAAGCAATCCTAAAAGGAGAGTCATAAGGTAACTAACTGTGAAGAGGGAGAAAATGCACTAAGTTTGGAATCAGGAGACATGGACCTCAGTTTTTTCCTTACTGGCAGTGTGACATCCAGCTAGTTGTGTAACCATTCTAGACCTTTGTTTTCTCATCTATACAATGAAGATGGTCCCAGGGATTAAAAAGAACATTGTGGTGGTGGTGGTGGTGGTGTGTGTTTGTGTGTCTGTTTGGTTGTTTTGTTTGTTTGTTTTTTGCACTCTAGGCTTAGCTGTGTTAAGGAACTGTAAGTTCGAGGTCCAGCTATGAGGAGACTATCTTATCCTCTTCTTTCAGGGATCCCTGCCTATTGCTTTTGCAGAAGAAAGTGGCTGTGACCTTGGGCCAGTCCCCGACTCGACAGTCACTACAGCAGTGCTCTCAACGGTGACAGGAGGTGCACGTGTCCAGGGACAGAAAAAAAAAAAGAGGCTCAAAAAGTGCAACCAAGTCAGCTTTGCTTCCTAACCTAACCAAGCACCCTAGACGCCAGCTCCGCCACTAGGAAGTAGGGCAGACGAGGAAAAGGAGCGTTTAAAACTTCCCGACTTGGCTCGCCCCGGTTTTAGGAAAAGCCTCGGTCCTACCACGATTCACACTGCCGCGTGACTTAAGACCCCCCAAAGAGAACGCTTCCCACGCTCCCGACGAAATCCAGCAAAAACTAGAGTCGCCACTCCCAGCCCTCAAGTGAGGTCTTCGTTACCCCCGACCTCCACGTATAACTCCAAATACTACCCTAAGTAAAATTAATTACCATAAACCTCTAGCGCTTTCTCTTCCATGATCCGGGGCTGCCGGGCAGTTCCCCGCTCAAAGAGGCCGGAGAGCCACAGGACTCTGCTCAACGTCCTGGAGAGCAGTCCAGACACCCGCTCCATCCTCGCGTTCCGCCATCCCTGGCGATTGTCCCACCCGAGCCACCGTCTTACAGCAGCTGGCCCTGCGATTTATCAACTTCCTGGTCTCCAAAGGGGCCAAGACAAGGTTTAAGGTTCGGGGGAGCAGAGAATAGGCGGATCTGGACGCAGTAGCGCGGGGAACCCAGGGAAGGGCGCCGCAAGGACCACAAACCCCAGCATGCTTTGCTCCGTTTCTACGGGACTAGAACTTTAAAAAACAAAATTGCTCGTGACACGTGAGGCGCGCTGCCTAATGGGTCAAATGGGACGTTTTCTTCGGAAGACAGCTGTATTCTGGGACATGTAGTCTCCCCCGGGCAAGGGAGGTGGGTAGGGTGTAACGGTCTATTACTCACCACCGATTGCCTCACTCAGCGCCCTCTATAAACTAAAGATGAATCCTGATGAGGTAGGGGAAAATAGACCTTGATTTCTCATCCTCGAGGAGCTTGTGCACGAAGATTCCTGTTATTTCTCCGAAGGAGAAGTTTCCACCCAAAGTTTTTACTTCCTTAGTTAGGCCGGAAGTGAGTTTTCGTTATTAAAATGGGATGTCTTGGGAGCCCAGCAAAGAATGATTAGGCGTGGATGGGGGGAAGGGAGGGCTTTTTGGTTTTCTAGTCTCGTAGGGGTTTAGGCCAGCACAATTCCCCACTACAGGCCGAATATTTCTGCCAATCGCTTTGAATAAAAAGGAGAGCTTTCCTTGCTGTGTCCACTGCATCCAATAGTGACATTCAAGATCACTATCCTAAAGTGAATGCCATAAGTCCCCTAGTGTTTCGTGGCTGTGGTGAATCCCAGTAACACGATTGATGATGTTAATTTTATCCATTCATCCCTCCAATCAAATCGCAAACATTTACTGGGTATCTAATTTGCCGGACTTGATCTATAGGTACCAAGGCAGAGCCCCTGCCTTGAGGAGCTAACATCTGTGAGGGAGCCAACCCTGTTGTTGAGGAATTTGCAGTTAGAAACAAACAACCTTTGTCAAAGGCGATGCCAAGTTTTTTCTAACCTCTACTGAAAAGTCAGGATTATCTCTCAGAATTATCTCCTGATAAGCTATCCCATTTATTTTATCTATCTGATTTAGACTTTAGGCTCACCAGACAGCCTGTGAATAGTTTAGGTCCCAAGAAAATTTTCTTCAGAGTTTAATTTCCCCGCCTTCTGTTCCACTTTACTTACTCCACAGCGATTGAGGTGATCCTTGCAACCAAATTTAGGGCACTGAGGTTTCACTTCCTGTGTGAGGCCTCCTGACTTTAACAAATAGAATCGATCATCTCTTTTACTCGGCTGGCACAGCAGATTATAGCACTGTATTTACATGTCAATTTACATGTCATATTACATGCGCCTGTCTCCCTCAAGCGCCTAGAGGGCCAGGAACTTCTTTATTTCTTCTTTATTTATCTCAGATGCAGAGCAGGGTGCCAGGCACACAGTAGTAGATGCTCAACATGTATTTCTTGAGTGAATTAACTAATGTTCAAAGAAGCAACGGCGAGACTTTACTGCAATCTGTTCAGAGACCTCAGTCAAACATATTTACTGAAGCTCTATAAGGGCACTGTGCTTGGCATGGGTAGGTGGTGTGCAGAGGTCTCCAGACTCCTTTTTGCTCAAATGATATCTTAAGGGGCCTGTTAAGCACTATGCTGAGCACAAAGTGCCCTGGCAGCCTGAGCAGCCTCTAGCTCCTCCTTTTCTGCCCCTTTGACCTCTTGATTAAGATCTTGGAATTAGGATCCAGGGCTCAGATTTGCTAGGCAGGAGCCTGGAGCCAGCCCCGCCCCACCCCCAGGGCCAAGTCCCGCCCCGGCGCGAGCCGCGGGGTTAGTCCTGATCATCCTACTCCTCGTCCCTGGAACGATTTGCTCGCGGCGTTTTCTCTCTATAAAGTTGTTGTTGCGGCTTCCGCCGCGGGTGCAGGAAGATGGCGTCGGGTGGTGGTGGCTGTAGCGCTTCAGAAAGACTCCCTCCGCCTTTCCCTGGTCTGGAGCCGGAGTCCGAGGGGGCGGCCGGGGGTTCAGAACCCGAGGCTGGGGACAGCGACACTGAGGGGGAGGATATTTTCACCGGCACCGCGGCGGCAGTGAGTTCTCTGCTATTGGGGCGGTCAGGGGGCGGGCGGGTGCCCCAAAAGGGAAGAAAGTCTCTGGGAGGGTCCGGGAGGCTGGGCAGAGTGGGCCCAAGGAGACCCTGCGTCGGTGACAGTAATCGCGGTTTGGGGTTCCTGGATGAACGCCGAGATGTAGGGCCTGGCTTCCCGGCCCCCGGGGCGGACCGCGAGGAGTGAGGGCTGTGGTGGCTTCTCCGCCGAGTCCCTGACTGCAAGGAGTCGCCGAGGCCGGCCGGCGTTTGGCCTCGCCTTGTAGTGACCCCACGGACTCACGGGGCTGTTTTTGCTGGTTGTTTCTTGCAGGGCTAATTTCATAGGTCAAGATTAGCGCGTGGGGTACAGTCTTTCACTCCTCTTACTGCCCTGAGGACGAATAATGTTATACGGAGTGGCCCAGGATAGTGACCCGACCACCAATTTATTTGTTAGCTCAACACTTAACCTGTAATTACCAAAGGGCCTTTCTTGATGTTGGTTTATTTTATAAGCCTTAGGTTGATTCCTGATCTCTGGGAAAATCCTGCCAGAGTCTGTTGGAAAAAAAACGGCCTGCTAGATAAATCACTGCACAGACCACAGGCTCTGTTCCTATTCAAGGGATGTGTTAAAGTGCCTAAGTATCTTCGTGGGAGCTAATCTGTAAATGTGAGGAGAAAACGGTGTTGCCCATAATAATATCCAGGTTTCTAATAAAAGTTCGGTTTGGAGAAACTAATCTTTGTATATGGAATGTGGAAATCAGTTCTCAGTTGTAGAACCAGTGGGGATGTTTTGGGCTGTTTTGCAAGAATACTGACTCATACAGTTCTTTCCAGGATGAAAACTTCTTAAGCATTAGATCTGTGAATTTATGTATCTTTCTGTCTTGGGTAATGCTTCTCTCCGTAGTAGCTACTCAGTGTATGAGAGACTAAATAAAAAAACAGCTTAAAATTCTTTATACATATGTGCCTGAAACAGTCGGGGGCTTGTCTCATTTGTCAGTGTAGGGGTTCAGAACAAGTCACCCCAAGATGTGCCTCTGTGGTATGCTGATTATTTTGAGCTAAAGGTAACTTTAGCCTCTGGCCCAAGGGAAACTTCTGCCACTACCTAGAAAAACTTGAATTAGAGGCCTCGCCAATAACAGATTACCTCTTTTGACCTATTTTGCTATTTTCTCTTAATATGTGTCGTGTATATTTGATTATTTGACCAGCCAAAAGATTCTTGAGGGTGGAGGAAAGTTTGTTCCTCCTGTATTTCAAAAAAAGATTGTTTCTTGGAAATACCTTCTATGACAGTTATTAGAATTTTCCATATACTGTATTCAGGAATTGAGTTCATAATCCCAGCTCAAAAAGCATTTACTGAAACTAATATAACAGCTCAAACTGCTTAGTGGAGTCCTTGTTATCCTGAGAAATAACTTGCTGCTTAGTCTTTCTGTAGCCCACTTAAAACAAATCTTTAGTCTGTTCCTTTAGTAATTCTCCCATACACCATGGAGAACACCTCCTGTTGGTAATTGCTGGGTTGTTAGATGTCAGATTGATATCTCAAAATAGAAACCCTGGCACTAAGAGTGATTGATCTCAGAAACAAATGATGGTTTTTACTTTTTAAATTCTTATTTTTATGTATTGATTTTTAGAGAGAGAGAGGAAGGGAGGGAGAGAAACATTGATTTATTGTTCCACTTATCTTACGCAGTCATTGGTTGTTTCTTGTATGTGCCCTGACCAGGGCATGTGGGACCACACTTTAACTAACTGAGCTACCTGGCCGAGGCTGACAAATGATTTGTTTTCCAAAAAAGGACCTTGGGAGGATGAGCTTTTTGTAGTTACCTTAAAAAGTTCAAGAGGCTATTATGATTTGATTGATCTAACCATATTATTTTACAGATGCATCAGTACTTCGCTCTTATAAGACTGTAAAAAATACTTTGCCTAATTTCCAGCTAGAGGGAGAAGGAAAGGTTTAGAATGACCTTGTTGTACCACATAAAGCATAATTATTTTTTATATTTTGATTCAGGAAAACTGAGTTGCTGAGGAAACTAAAATGCCACTTGTAAGTCATTTTTTGAGCTGCCTGCCCTGCTGTTAATCTTCAGGAAGCCAAGACCTCCATCTGTGAATTTCTTGTTAAATAGTCATTAAATACAAATTATATTTTAATACCTGCTTTAGTTGTGAGCCAATGTGAGAAGATAGGGGATTGCATTTCTTCTGTATCTTAAAGAATGACATTGTTAGGAGCATGGGCTTTGAAGTGAGATTAAATCCAGGCTCTGTTACTTCCTGGCTTCACCTTGGGCAAGGCACTTACTTTGTACAGTTTTCTCACACCTACCAAATGTGAATAATAATAGTATTTACCTCTAGCGATTCTTATGAGGACTGAATTAGAATATATACCTATAAAACACTTCAGACAGTTGAGCATTTTGTAACCTGAAATTTCTTATTCAAAAATCCACAAAATCTAATCATGGATTACAAAGTTAAATTACGTAACTCCAGAATGGTTAATATGTTTTGTCGAATCAAACCAGTGAAATTGATTTGATTAGCTAGAAATCATCAACGTAGACATCTTCCTGATTTAACTTATCTTCATATTGTTTTGTTGCATATTGGAGGCAAAGAGAGGAGCATTAAAGAATTGGGAAGCTGAGGCATAGAAAATTTAAAACTCATTTATGATACGTGTATGATTTTCTGAATACTGAGTAACAGCTGCTGCTGTTAATCATCCCATCTGCTCTTTTTCACAGCCCAAGAGGCTTTGTTATTTCAGTAATAAAAGTATGGTTTGATTTATAATCGAAAGGGCAGCCTGTAATAATAATGTGTCTTAGAATTTGCAAGGAAAAACTGGAGTTAAAAGAATTACTAAAATAAGTCTGAAGTCATTGCTTTAAGACTGAAAACCAGCTTGTGGAAGGTCTGATTCTCAAGAATACCTAAGACTTTCCCCCTCTTACCTTGTGGGTCTATAAATAAAAAGGTCTAAAATCTAAATATATTATCTGAACCTCTGATATGAATATGTATCTCT